AAGACAAGTGAAAATATTCAAACTGAGGTATATGAAATCTCTGCAGGAATACGAAAAGTTCGATTGGCTTTCGCCAACTTACCCCACCTGTGCCACAGCCATGATATACGATTATCTATTAAGGGTCGCGTGTACTGCAGCTGCACAGCAGTCCACTCTGTTCTTCTGTATGACTGTGAAACATGGCCATTGAAGGTGGAAGACATGAGAAGGCTGGCTTCAGGTGTTTGACCACTACTGTCTTCGTAGTATAGGCCGTATTCTGTGGTGTCACCGCACCACGTGAGTAACGCAGAAGTCAGGTGTAGAGTTTCAGGGAGAAGAGGCAAGTCAGTTGATGAGGTTGTGAGCCTTCATCGACCGAGATAGCTGACTGGCACATGTGTTGTATATGTCCAGTCACCGTCCGGTCGAAATAAGTTCAGGCTGGAAAAAAGCTCGAGGCTCTCGGCCAAACATCAATGCATGGAGTCTTTGACTGTTAGTTAGAGCCATGTAGGGCGACTAGCCGGTTGGGGTCCGTGGGACAAGAGAAATCAGTGGTTGGAGACTCTACGTGATATTACTTAGAACTGATGTCAGTGACACAGATGTATACATACAGTATCCTCATCTTAATGACGCTATACCGAATCTCACCATTTTCTCATTCTTCCTTTCTCTCTTTTCATACTTCATATTTCTGTTGACTGAATTTTCTTATCTTCATTTTCCACTTCACTGTCTTTTCACTTGATGTACTGATATGAGCTGTGGCGATTCGGACCATTACGCAGTAATGCCTGGTCCTAGGTTGATCTGGATGGATATGAAAGCGAAAGCACCAGCCACTGGAAGAAACATCCTGTTTCTATGCTGTACTCACTGGTCAACCATTTCACTGATGAGTAATCATATTCACAGGATGAAGTAATTCAGTTATCTTCAGTAAATCTCCCCCAGAAAAAAACAGGAGATTTGCTAGTTATCATTGTTCACTGTCAGATGTTTCTGCTTATGTCACTTAATTGATCAGTAAAGAATATGTTCAACTACTTAAATCACCTATCATCAGTAGTATCTTCTAGTATTGTATTCTTACATAAACCTAAACCATTCATCTCCTAGACATAATATCTTAAAGATATATTAAATAATTGGAAATTCTACTGTATTCCTCCCTTTAAAAGTCATAACCATTGCCTGGTCTTTATGATTTTTTTGTCATTGTCTTTTACACGAAATTCGAGTTCATTGTTCAATAATTTTTTTGTTGTTGTTTGAATTGAGATTTCCCCGGGACATTTAAAATAAGAAAAGGGATTTAGTAAAAGATATTCAGGTGAGAAAGATAATAATCTGTATATACACAAATATATAAATATGCACAGATGAAGGAAACTCAAAAAAAAAAAGCAAAACTGAATTGAATCTTTTCAAATTATTTATTTATTTAAACAAATTAATTAATGAGGACATTTAAAATTGTTCAATTACAGTAAAGAAAAGAAAATTATTAATTTTGTTTGTTGTATGCATTAATGGTTCATCAATTCTATTGAATCTGACAAACTACATATTTCACTCGAATGAACGAAGCTATTAAATGGAAGATGTTCATTAGAGTGGAAAATTAATTTCTTTCCCAAATACCTTAGCAACAAACTATATATATATATATATATATAACCTCATTGAATTCATCATGACCTTAGTAAGGAATAGGAACAAACAATCTTTGGTTGGTTCAATCCATAAATTTTTCATGAATTTTATTCTCACGGCTCACTCACAACTAAGCACAAAGTAACTATGACTCTCTTTGCTTCTGAGGTCCTCAGTGCAGTCACTTGCCAGGGCATAAATATGAAGGAGCTTTCCATGGTGCAGCTCTGTCGGGTTGTGAAAAATGGAGGTCCTACGTACACTGAAGTCTTGTTGACGGTGGCCTTACTCGTAACCTCACTGGATAGACATCAGCTAATACTCCTTCCAGTAGAATTAGCGAAAAACTGAGGTCAACAAGATTTAGATGCATATGATCACTGGTGAGGGTCTTCAAACGAGGGAAGAATTTTTCAAGTTATTGGGCTCCAGCTTCTTGGTTCTAGTAGTAATTGTTATTGAAGCAATACCAAAAGATTGGGTGTAACTAACTTTTGAAGATAAGCGATATTCTGTCCGAACTGTGAGTGTTGTTAGCTCTAGCTTTTTCTGTATATCAATAGCTCGGCGGAAGCTACCACTGTATATCATGGATCAGGCCTTCTGGAGGAATGTTTTTTTTGAGATGGCTGGCTACATTTAATCCGAAAGGTTGTGAAAACTTCAGTGACACCCATTCCATGCACGTCTGCTCACTGGAAGGTTAGTAAGGTCAAAGGAACGATTACCAGGCGAATATGGATGCACTGAAACCTAGCAGTTGCGAGGATTCTGGGATAATACTGATCAGTTTGAGGAGGTGGTAAGAGAATGGTCTAGGAGGTATGTCTGTTTCCATGTGAATATGTTGCTTGAATGTTTTCTGATTGTTTGTGTTCGAAATTTTATAAATCTGAAAACTAGTCTGAAACTTTGAGCTGAGCCGAAAATTCGAAACCGCAGTAGAAATAGTGTGAGTAGTAGTACCATTAGTGGTACAATTAGTAAAATTTCCTCAATATCTATCAATTCATGAACATAATCCCTGTTGTATTTACTGGCCTTGATTCAATGAACTAAACACTCAAGGATCGATTACTCCTTTCATCTAGGTTTATTGGATTTTAGAAGTGTTACCATGTCCCCAATCTCCACCCCGTACCTGAGATATGATTATTTATCAGTGCATGCACGGTGGTAACCGTGATTTTCTCTAGACTGCTTATCTCGGCGATATTTAAGATTCAGTATTTAGCTAAACACCTGTGTTCTGGTGTTCAGACTGATTCCAATCTACTCATGTAATTAATGTATGTCAATGACGACGATCACTATTCAATTTACGGTTTGAAGGTGATAGTCTGTAAAGATCCTATATCGGTAACTAGTTGACCAATGACCAAAAGGGAAAACTTAGACAAATGGTTAGTAAGAGAGATGGGATGCTGGTCACTCTAACAGTCAATCTTATTCTCGGTAACTTGATGACATCAATAAAAGTCTTTGAGCCTTGTACATTTCCGTATATTTATTTATTTGTTAGCTGAAGTGATGATGATGATGATGATGATGATGATGATGGTCTCAGGATTAGCTATGCACACTAAAACTAGACTGACTGGTCACTAAAGTGTAACCGATTCGAAATTGTCTAGTCCTAAGTGCTGATCGAATTCTATCGTTCACTTTGTCATGTGGCTACCAGGCTAGGTGGCTCACCATCGTAATACACTGACATGGATGTAAGTTGGAAGGAGGCAATCAGTATGAAGTCTTGGGCGTGGATTTCGTTCTTGTTGGCATGCGTCAGGAAGGCGTATCTGCAACCTCGAGGGAATTGATGTCCCACCAGAGATTCGAACCCCGTGTCACCCTGTGCTGTAGTCGAAGACGTTGTCACTGAGCTATCCGGGCTGCTAGTAAACTCCTGTAATACTGAGTTACATGTGTTGATTGGTCAGTGGAGAGTAACCAACTTCATGTTATCCGGCCTTGAGTGTTGATCAAATCCTGTTGAATTACAAGTAGGACAACAGTTCCGTAAAGATTGCAGACAATCCCTTGTGACTAGTGCCAATAAGTTCGAAACCTAATTCGATCACAGCTTTCTGCCAATTGCCTTCGTCTATTCGAAAACACCCTGAAACTAACACCAATTCAAGAACGAAGATACGACAACAGGAATGATCATTGGATCAAATTGGCATTATTCAAATTCCTAATCAATTTACCTTCAACAATCGTTTGAAGCGATCGCTCCCGAGCCCGAATTTCGGTGGGAACAACATCACTCCCCGGGAAGCAGGTACATCCAGCTGACGAGTCCTAAATACGACGAAATGTGCATCCTGGATTCCGCTACTAGCCACTAGCCATCATTACTTCTCTTGTCACTTAAATTAGTGTTTATCATTATTGATACACATTAGTGTCCGGATGAAAATCTAATCACTGAATAATCCCATCTCATTATGGTGATCATTTAAACAAGAAAATACAACTAACCAGTTATAACAAATTACAATTCATGATATAGAAGCAATCCAATACCCATTGCCCAATGAGTAGCACATTATGATTATGCGGCCTAGTGGATAACCTTATGGCGTTTGAAGCAATTCTTCTTTGGCTGGATTCTTAGAGGAGAGGACATTACTCACTCACTCACTCACTCACTCACTCACTCACTCACTCACTCACTCACTCACTCACTCACTCACTCACTCACTCACTCACTCACTCACTCACTCACTCACTCACTCACTCACTCACTCACTCACTCACTCACTCACTCACTCACTCACTCACTCACTCACTCACTCACTCACTCACTCACTCACTCACTCACTCACTCACTCACTCACTCACTCACTCACTCACTCACTCACTTGAGCTGAGGAATCCCAAATGGGACAAAACCCGCATCCTGAATTCCACTGCTAGCCACTATTCACCAAGTAAAATAACTTCAAAATGTTTCATTCATACAAGAGAAATGATCAAATCACGTCGTTTGAATCCTTAATTAGTCAGTTCAGCATCTTCTACACACACACATCCACTCACTCACACACACACACAGATCAACCAATAAGGAACGAGTCAGATTAATTTATGACGATTGATTACTTATGCAGTACTAAATAACTAAACTTCATGATGAAGTCTGTATTGTTAATGATGGCGTTTCAGGATGATATTAAAATGTTTACGAAACAGATCTTCAATAAAGAGAATACTTCCACCTGAACATACACACTTTAAGTTTATAAACTTTCAATAGTGTTAAAGCGCTTAACTGATGAACTTCAATGATATCTCAAAATTAGATGATTATATAATCATAATCTCTGTTATACTTCTACTTTATTTTATAGCGTCTATTCACTGTGATCTTGGAAGCGTATGATTTAGTTAGTGGAAATGAGAAATATCTTATTGATCGTGCTGTACATCGTGGTCTATTGCGTCCATTAATTTATACAAAACAATCTAATCCATTTTTTGAATGGCATCAAGTTACTATCTCTACTCAATACTCAGGTTATACATTTTGTATGCGATTAACATGTGAACCTAATCATTATGGTAATGAATGTACAAAAGTTTGTATGACAAATGAAAATCAGACAAGATTTAAATGTGATCCAAATGGTAATAAGATATGTGAACCCGGTTGGAGTGGTGTGGAGTGTGATAAAGGTAATTCAAGTTTATTTCATTATATAATATCTTTGAAACACCGAAGAAGAGTGAGCAATCCCATGTAGTCCAGTCTTGAGTGTTCATTAAACTCTGTCAATCATTTTGAAATGTTATCACCAAACCTGGATACTCATCTCTATTCTAGATTTCTTGCTTGTTGCCAACTTACCAACAAGGCGTATGTGAAACCTTGATGGAACAGGTGTTCTACCTGGGATTCAAATCCAGGCCACCCGACTTTGTGATCAGCGACATTATCACTGAGCTATTCAGGCTGACCTCTTGTAAGACTATACTAAGTACATTGATTGGTTACTGGAGGGTGACCAATTTCATGTTGTCTAGTTCTACGTGCTGATCGATTTCTAACAACCATTTCGCTATTTGGTCAATAGACTAGGCAGATCAGCATCACGATGCACTGACATCGATGTTAGTTGGATGCAGGCAATCGGCAGGAAGCCCAAAATCACTTACAGCATGGTATACACATGTGACAGTAACAATTCGGACTTTAAGTAACATAATCTGTCTTTAGGAGGATGAAATGTTGCGTAACAGAACGACTATCAAAGGAGAAAGCGAGTGAATATTTCATATTAATGATGAATAGTGGCTAGTAGTGGAACCCTGGACATGCGTTACGTTCTATTCGAGACTCGTCAACTAGTAAGTGTTGTCCCCACTAAGACAAGAAACCGGGAATGACCCACAATATAACATCAAGAAAATAATGCTATATCCATTCCACAAGGAGCAGTTATCATAACTTAGTGACTAAGTTGATAATGATCTGGCATTTGAAGTGATCACCCCCAGGTCTGAGTCCTTGTAGAGACAACACCACCTACTAGGCTACAGGTACATTCAGCTGACAGAACCTAAATAGGACAAAGTACACCTCCTAAATCCCACTGACAGTAATACACAAGTGAAAACAATGGCAATACTGAGACATCAGCTCAGTAATCCAATCAACTGTGGAGAAGTACAACCTCAAAAACGATTGATTATTTAACTAAATCATACAGCTGCATCCATCTAACGAGTTTCAAACATAGAGAAATCTATATAACAGATCCCACTGCTATTCATTGTCAGATATAATCGACGTTAGTTAGAGAATCATCGACAATCTGGAGGTACTAGACAGTTGTTTCATAGTAGAATGGAACTCTGTGGTAGTGCACACCAATGACACCACCAGGAATTGATCCCATCGCAGAAAAGCCTTACCATTTGGCAACTGGGTCGGAATTCAGTGATTCCTAATTCTATCGATTTTCAATATAGAGTGACCACAGTCCGATGATACAAATGCCCATCCGCATTACGTTTGATTTAATATACTCTACAGGTCATGGCTTCTCTCTAGATCGTCAAGATCTACATTCCAAAGAAAGTAACTAACTACACTCAGCATTAGGCGTAAACAACATCCGGATTTTCAACACCGATTCAGTCAAGTAACTCATTGCTTCTATGTGATGGTTGAGAGACTTGGCGGCGTGTTACGTAAAACATTTCCAACAAACTACAGACACACATCACATCAACACCTGCCACCCACCCTCACTCAATACTGACACTGAAGATTAGCTGATGAGAAACATAGGAATTAGCAAGGAGGAAGTCTGGGTGGCTGGCTGGCTGGCTGACTGACAACGAACCAACCAAGAAGGTATCGCCCAACAAGTGTGCAGAAGAAGAGAGTGGAGATGGATTGGATTGAACATACACTGAGGAGACCGATTGAACACATCACGCGCCAGATCAGGCCAGCTCCTCGACTACAACCTGTATGAGAAAGTACGAGTTGGGTGTCTGAGTCGAGGGTGACATGGAAGAGATTGTGTGAGGAAGAAATGAAAGGTTCTTGGCAGTGGTGGAGTTAGGTTGAGAATACTGTGGAGAATGAGAGTGAAATGGTAATGTGCTAGTGAATGCGTATGTTCCACTAGGAACCAAAGTGACAAATAATGATAAGAAGTATAACCAGTACAAAACAGATTGCACTGCCTGAATGACTGAACGTCAAGTTTTCTGCCGATAAGTTCAGAATTGTCTAAACCGGAACGAATAGTTCAAACTTCTAACTACTGATCAGATAGTCTTCAAAAGTGGTTTTATCACAACTGTTTCGTCACAATCTAGGACTCTTCAACAGTACTCACTCACTTACAATCAACCAACAACACTTGACTTTTCAAATAACTTACAAGTTAAAAAAGAATATGCAGATATTCATCACGTTTGATTTTTAGAAAAAAAAACTGTTTCCATGCCTGAGATTCACAATCTTCTTGTTGGTAAACATGCTGCCAGTAGGACAGATTTTACTCTACATCGCATAAAACCTTCGACAAGAAAACTCGACCTGTGGTTTAATAAATTTAGTAAACGGCTTAAGGTTTGTCCTTAAGAATAATAAAAAATATTATTAGGTAATGTTACATCTATCGTTTTTATCATTTCGAATAAAACAATTAACTTAACGATGATATTGGGTGATGGTCACGCTATCTCCTCAGCTGACAGAAGTTGAAAATATGAACCATTGGGTTCCGCCAACCCAGTAGCTTAATAGTAACGTGCTGGCCATGGAACCTGAAGGTCCTGGGTTCGACCCCGGGTGGGGCGGGGTCATGGGTGTGCACTGCTGGGGAGTCCCTTAGTCCAGTGGTCTCAGGTCTCCAATCCTCCCCCAACTAATATCAGTCCATGATGAATAAAGATTAATGACAAGATGGCAAGAAATTACTTTTGGAACAATCCCTAACAGGGGCAGACAGAAGAAACTGGAACAGGGGATATTATTCATGGGAAATAGTAGACCAAAGAGGGTACTGGTAGTATCAAACCTGAAATAAGTCAACGCAAGACAATTTGATGATGCACCTCTAGAAGTCTTCTATGTAGGTTGACGGCAGGAATGTGTGACGTAGAAGAAGCAGTGATAATTGTCTGAGAATGGTTCCGAGAAAGGAGGAAAATACGTTTATAAGAATCTCATAGAAATCATTCAAGCCAGCATAGTCCCCTAGTTTGTACGGTTTGTAATCATTCAATGTTTAACCAAAACCTTGTAACAATAAACTGAGGACATTTGGATGAATTTCAAGACTAGATATATATGTATTCAATGCTTATTTATTGTAATATAGGTGGTTAAATGCAGGTATACCTACCGGTGCTATAGATTACTCTTATCTGCTAGTACATAGTAGGAAGTGAATCGATCACTCGTGAAGTCTCGTAATGCTGACTCCTACTGAAATAGTTACTAAGCAAAGTATGATATATCACACCAGGCCTCTTACTCGAAAACGGACTAATTCATTAAGTAATTTTAAGAAATTTGATTTTTCACGAGACTGAAAGTTGGGTTAGTAAACTACAACCCAGTGGGTGAACGGTTATCTCGTCACCACAAGATTTGACAGTCCTCTGCTTGATCCCTCATCATGTTATGACTGGACACTGTTGTTAAAAAGCTGTTTAGCGCTCTTAGCCTATTAAAGGGTCCTTCAGTCCATGGTATATCCCACCATGTAACCAATCAACCCCATCCTGTCGTTTATTGGACCGAATTTAAAAAGTCTGTATTGGCATAGTGGCTCCTGCTTGAATACCAGCAGAGACTGGTAGATTCGGTTGAATCAACGACGAGATAATACAAGCAAAAACATGAAAACTATACCTATCGTAGAGGAAGTGGCTACCGTGACTAAGTAGCATACTGAGTAATGGTCTGGAATTTGAAACGATCGGTTTCAGGTTTGAATTTGACTGGGAACAACATCTATCAATGAAAGGCAGGTACATGCAGCTAATGAGCCCTAGATAGGACGAAATCAGCATACTGGATCCTACTGGTAGCTATTATCGATCATTACTATAAAATATTTATTCGATGTTTCGTATTTTGATCTCTTTCTACTATGCACATTTTCCAAACTCATGATTCTCTAAAATTTTATCTCACTATTTAAATCAAACTCACTTAAGACTGAAAGATAAGCATCAGTTTTTCTTTCCATTCCAAACTTTATTTTGTGAGTTTCTCAATCAATCATTTCAGGGATTAGGATTTTTTTCTGTGTCTTATCAATGTAAATTAATATGGACCTGATTGGCGGCGATTCTCACTTGACACTGATCAATTAGACAAAGTCCTCTTTTCTACTGTTTAGGTAAATATTTATTCAGAACGGAAATAAGCTTTGGGGTGACATTAAAGGCCACTTTAAAAGCTGTCAAAATAGCCAATCAGGTTCCAGTATTTCACTGGGAAGACAATTTCACAGAGAATCTAGAAACGTGATTGGTTGTTTCGCTAGTTACTAGGGTGACCTTTAAAACCTCTCAAACTTTGTAAGATATCTGGATATTCGATGGAGAGAGATAATGCCAGGTAGATGATCAGCATAATAATTCTTAAGTGAGTGAGTGTGTGCGTAGCTGTGACCTGCTTCCTTGAAATACAGATGCTTCAAAATCAAGATGTTTGTTCATGCTAGGCGGCTAAAGAATACTCTGCATTCAACTTTTATACTTGTTGACCTTTCGGTTCAAGCAACACGAAATCCACTGCATAATCTTGTGCATAGTAGTGCAGTATGCGGTAATAAGTCATACTTATTGTGTGAGGGCTAACAATAAGCACCAGTCACCATCATTGTAAGAAATCGAAAGGAAATTGTTTCTTCCACCTACCCACCTACGCAACATCCTCTCAACTACATGCGGCAACAGCTTATATGGTGATGTTAAAGCAGACAGCATCGGAAAGACTGCAAGACAGGTATTTCTGCATTAATCTGAAATAATCAGTGTAGAGATCTACTGCACTCCACTACACTCCACTACATTCACCATAAAGGGTAAATAACATCCGGATTTTCAACACCAATTCAGTCAAGTAAGTCAGTGATTCAGTCGGATGGTTCAGAAACTTGGCGCATTACGTAAAGCATTTCCAAAAAACTGCAGACATACATCACATCAACAGCTGCCACTCTGGCTCACTCAGTACTGACACTGAAGATTAGATGACCAGAATAATAAGAATAAGCAAAAAGTAAGTGTGGTTGGCTGATAACGAATCAACCAACAACCCATTGCCTAGCAAATATGCAGAGAAAGAAAGTGGAAATGGATTGGATTGGACATACACTGAGAAGAAGGTTTGGAGACACCACGTGTCAGATCAGGCCAGCCCCTCGACTGGAACCTGTATGGGAAAGTACGAGTTGGGTGCCTGAGTCGAAGGTGACGTAGAGGAGGTTATGCCAGGTAAACAGATAAATACGAGCTACAGTTAGTGATGTACAAGGAGGAAACATCACCCATTACTGAGAAACATAACATTACAAGGTATGAAACAACAACAAATGATATCTAGCACACAAGAGGTGGCTCTTATGTCTCAATAGATTATTGGATAATACTCTGGCGTTTAAAGTGATTGGTACTGGTTTCGAGTCTCATTGGAAAAAACATCACTCACTGAAGTACAGTTGACAAGTCCCGAATAGGCTGAAACGAATATCCTAGATTCCACTGCTAGCCACCAAACAGAGTACAACAATGCCATTAGTGTTTTCAACTTTACTAGTATGTTAGCATTCAGAATAATAGAGTCTTTTCATTTGTATTCTGTCTTTCATGATTATTATTTTATTATTTGTACCTTGGGTTCCTAGTGGAACATAGAGCTTCAGTAGCACTTCTCCATTCCACTCTCTTCTCTGCAATCTTTTCAACCTGGCTCCACGACAGCCCACAGGCTCTGATTTCTTCCTCACATGATCTCCTCCATGTCACCCTCATCTCGGACGCCTAACTAGTCATTTCCCATCTGGTTTTCACTCGATGGCCTGGCCTGGCATGTGATGTCCCCGAATGGTCTTCTCAGTACATGCCCAATACATCTCCACTCTCTTCCACTGTATATTTGTTGAGCGGCAGCTTCTTGCTTCGTTGGTCCGTTGCCAGCCAGCCAGCCAGCCAGCCAGCCAGCCAGCCAGCCAGCCAGCCACCCAGCCACCCAGCCACCCAGCCACCCAGCCACCCAGCCACCCAGCCAGCCACCCAGCCAGCCAGCCAGTCAGCCAACCAGAGTTCCTTGTTGCTCATTCTCATTATTCTCTCCATCTGATCATCAGTAACGAGCCAGTGTAGGCAGTTGTTGATGCCTGTCTCTAGTTTGTTGAAAATGCTTTTCGTGACACGCCAAGTCTCTCAACCATCACATAGAAGCACTGACTTACTTGACTGAATTAGTGTTGAAATTTTGGATACTGTTCACGCTTTATGCTGAGTGCAGTAGATCTTCACACTGGTTTTAGGTTCATGAATACCTGTCTTGCTTTTCCAATCCTGGCTCTGACGTCCTCGTCTGTGCCGCCGCCACCGCCTGTAGTTGAAACGATGCTGCCTAGATAGGTGTATGTGAAAGAGGCTACTTCCTTTAGGTTTCTCTTGTGGATGGTGATTGGAGCTTGTTGGTGGTGGTGGTGGTGGCGTTGGTTGGGTAATCCTGTCTTTCAGATGATATTTATCATTAACTACTACTGATATTCTCCTTCATTTTTTAGCGATATGTAATGTTGGATGTCATCCAGTACATGGAAACTGTTCAAGACCTGGTGAATGCGAGTAAGTCTTTCATAAAACGTACTGAAATATTTTGTTATTCATTTCAATAAAATATCGCATGAAACTCAATATTGCACGTAAATGACCTCGCTAGAGATCGAATCCAGGGTATTTAAGTTTTCTGGCAAGTACATAACCACAATGGTTCATAGTTCTTTAAATTCATGACATTGCATAACAATCATGCAATCCCATTGTTCAGTATTTGTTCTTATGCCTATCTTGGATGACTATAAAACTTCCGGAACTTTCATCTTGAAGCGTATCTTGATTGAGTTCAGATGAGGAATCCTATACTGGGACGAAACAATTGTGTAGTTTTCAGTGGTCCTGTAAATAATGTTAGTCTGTAAGGGATACTATTGTAAAATGAATAAAAGCCTCTATAAACCTGAAACTATACAATCTTTAACTGAATTTTATTTTATCCGAAGGTTTATTAATTGATTTTAGGTTGGAGAAACATTAAAAATCTGGAAGCATTGAACAGCTGTTTCGTCATAGTATTGGATTCTTCAGCAGTACTCACCCATCGCTTCACCCCTTCAGGGATTGAACCCAGGACCTTCAGGTTCCTTTACCATTGAGTCACTGGGTTGGCGGAATCCAGTGATCAATATTTCCAACTTTTATCATTCAATGTCATTATTGAGTAACTGTCCTCATGTTCAACTTGATGAACTCCACTGATCTTCACTTCTCATTGAAACTTCAGAAAATCACCTCTTGAAACTAATCACCAGTAAGTGTAAATTGACAGAAATAGGAAATATAGAGTATTGAATTCTACTGATCCAATGATTTGAAGGCAAAATGTTGATTAGAGAACCTGAACGTGCTGGGTTCGACCCCTGGTTGCGGGGATCTGTAGAGTCCCATACTAGGACGAAATAGCTATCCAATCCTTCAAGACTTCCAGTGTTCTTCTAATTGATGTCAGTTCATGATTTGTTCCAACCTAAAATCAATTGAGTTTTCTTCAACATTGATATTCTTTAAAAACACATACAAATACATATTTATATTGTTGATGAAATAATTTTCAAAGTTTTCGTCTTGATTATTATAATTAGTCTTGTTTTATCTCAAGTTTAACATTTTCTTTTTGTGTGGTAATTATCATTATTATTATTATTATCATTATTATAATTGTCTTTCTGAAGTATATTATCAACCAACTTAATCATCAAAATGGAGATTTCTCTTATCTATTCCATTGTAGAAATGTTCCTATATTTGTGTTTGTGTGTGTGAAGGTTTGGCGTAAGGTGCGGGTGGGGTTGGCAACATTATGAGTCCACCACTGCTTTTTCACCTACTTAACCCCACCCACCCAGTCACACATTCATATACAACTTTCTAACTGCCTTTCTCTGAGCATTGATGATTAAAAAAAATTTCTTTACACAGATTATATAGCTTGTTAAGAGTAATAATTAGATTGAAAATAAAATGATCCCTTGGTCATAAAGTTAAAAAAATGTTTCACAAGATTCCACTTTGTTATAAGGTAGAAATGAATTTTAATGTTATTGCTTCTGTTATACCGTCATTGATTGGACCGAATTGTTCCTGGATTCCACTGTTAGCCACTATTCATCACTACTGTGTAATTAAGAAGGTAGAGAAGACAGAGGTTATGAAGATACCCAACTAACAACAACAAGCACCAATCACAATCAAAGGGAGAAACCTAAAGAAAGTAGTCTTTTTCACTCACCTACCTAGGCAGCATCGTCCAAACTACAGGCGGTGATGGCGACAAAGATGAGGACTTCAAAGCCAGGATCGGAAAAGCGAGACAGGACCTCAATAATCTGAGATAATCAGTGTGGAGATCTACTGCACTCCACTACACTACACTACACTGCACTGTACTCACTATAAAGCATAAATAACATCCGGATTTTCAACACCGATTCAGTCAAGTAAGTCAGTGCTTCGATGTGATGGTTGAGAGACTCGGCGGCGAGTTACGTAAAACATTTCCAACAAACTACAGACATATATCACATCAACACCTGCCACCCACCCTCACTCAATACTGACACTGAAGATCAGATGACCAGAATAATAAGAATAAGCAAGGAGGAAGTCTGGCTGGCTGGCTGGCTGGCTGGCTGGCTGGCTGGCTGGCTGGCTGGCTGGCTGGCTGGCTGGCTGCTGGCTGCTGGCTGGCTGGCTGGCTGGCTGGCTGCTGGCTGTGGCTGGCTGGCTGGCTGGCTGGCTGGCTGGCTGGCTGGCTGGCTGGCTGGCTGGCTGGCTGGCTGGCTGGCTGGCTGGCTGGCTGGCTGGCTGGCTGGCTGGCTGGCTGGCTGGCTGGCTGGCTGGCTGGCTGGCTGGCTGGCTGGCTGGCTGGCTGGGTCCAAATAATCTGTTACGTAATAACATTTAGATACAAAAGTTTTTCACTGTATTATCAATGGAAGCATTTTCAACTGCTAAAGGCTCCAGGAGTTATATTAGTTGATTTAAGGCAGTCAGCAGGGAGCATTATTTCGTCTAGTAGGGGGAGGGGAGGGAGTGATGTCCCATCTATACCTTGAACTTGCATCATCCATTCTGTTAGTTCTACCTACATACACGTCCAAACAACTGTTGGCACAGTGATAGAGATTATTATTCAGGCTATTCTTTATGATCTTCTAGTCCTGTACTGTATTCATAACCTTATGTTACTATACATCCTTGAAAAGTTATTCAGTATATAATTGTTTAAAACGTCACTAATACATTCACTGTACTACTTTTTTCTGTGTATCTACCTAGCTGTGCAACCGGTTGGCAAGGTCCATTATGTGATGAATGTATAAAATATCCTGGATGCAAGCATGGAACATGTAATGATGCTCCGTTCACATGTCGTTGTCTACCTAACTGGGGTGGACCATTTTGTGATCAAGGTTGGTTAAAAACCTTTTTCACATTTTACAAAACTCTTCATTAAAAGCTGAAATATGTTTACGTGATATGACGTACAATTATTGTTTGCCACTTGGATTCCTAGTGGAACATACGCATTCACTAGCACATTACCATTTCACTCTCATTCTCCACAGTATTCTCAACCTAACTCCACCACTGCCAAGAACCTTTCATTTCTTCCTCACACAATCTCTTCCATGTCACCCTCGACTCAGACACCCAACTCGTACTTTCTCATACAGGTTGTAGTCGAGGAGCTGGCCTGATCTGGCGCGTGATGTGTTCAATCGGTCTCCTCAGTGTATGTCCAATCCAATCCATCTCCACTTTTTTTCTCTGCATACTTGTTGAATGATAGGTTCTTGCTTCATTGGTTCGTTACCAGCCAGCAAGACTTCCTTGTTGCTTATTCTCTCTGACCATCTGATTATTAATTTACTGGATGACGTTTCTAGAATAGTTTATCGCTTATAATTACACCAAGACAATCGCTCAACTTCCAACAACTGGTTTGTATAGTTGTATTACTTGCCAATCTTTGATTTCAGTGGTGATACAATTTCTCGTATATCTGTTAAGGGTATTGCATCATTACTTTTGTATGTATTCGGCAACTAATCTCTTTCTGTATCTAAATAAGTTGTTCTGTAGTATTGTGATACTGTTCCACCTATCCCGGGATTTTTTTCAAATGACTCATCATTTTGGGACCTATCATTTTAAGGGAAATATATTTCTTTTCGACGAGTTCATTTACTAAGCTGTACATTCAATAATGTATCTTACAGAGGGCAGAACGCTCCAGAATTATTTTCGGTCACGGAGCAAGGTATATCGAATAACTAAAGAAAGTTACTTAATACACATTTAGACTTGGAGTACGAAAATAGCCAAGGGATTATGGAAATACATGTATAGTTACCTAATACAGGGTGAATCTGGTTTGAATTTCTGCTTGCCTAGTACTTCAGCTAAACACAAGTGACTTCGAGGAATTTGATTGAACCCTGTAGACAATTTTGAATAGGCTCTCAAAAGGAGCTAAGTGGCCTGAGTTCATGAGGTGTTCTGCTATTCAACTGAAGATACATTTCCGATGTCCCTTTGCTAATCAGTCTGGGTAGTGTTCATGGGCATGTTTTACAACCGGATGCATGGTAGAACCGATGTACTCAGCTCCAAAAGATTCGAAAAACTGGTATACACACATTAAGTAAAAGGTATCTTACAGGAGAAGATAATTCGAAGGTTGGCGGTGAAGTATGTTCTATTTAAGGATTTCGACTGTTGTTTCCTGAAGATGTCGACAGCAATATGAATTGAAGATTTAACAAAAGAATCTTTTTTTGGCGCTAAATGTGTTCATTCAACTGGGTTCCTTGGCTTCTTGTTCTTATCTATGAATTTAAGCGGGAAACCGTTTTCCGATAGAGTTCATAGAAGTAATTGCCCTCTAACCGATTATATTTGTGGAACTTTCTACCCATTGTAATATATATTCATGAATGTACAGCTAAGTAAATAATTTCATTGAAAATAAAAAAATATTTCTTCACTGCAACTACATCTTGTCTTTTTCTATGATCGAATTGATGTATTACATTGATGAAATATATTTCTGGAATCTCAATGACATAATAGAATAGATTACTGATGTTTCACAATCTTCTGATGAAAGTCGCTTCTTCATAGAATCAAACCTTTACGGAGTTATCGACTGTTTAAATAGTAAATGGTGACAAATTACGTCCCATTATGCATACATGATAATAATAATGTCGGGATAAGTGTCATTGCTATTCGTTATTAGTCCCTAATTTCAAGGGAAAGATATGAATGGATAAAATTAAACCAATCATGTAGATTTGTCGGTTGATGTGATAAATGTTTAAAATAACAATGCAGATAAGTCGTGACCGGTGGAGTCAAAGCCTGATGGCCGTGAGGACAAATACTCAACGATGACATTGGGTGGCGGTTTGCGCTATATCGTGAGCTAATAGAAGTTGGAAATATGGAGCATTGGATTCTGACCCAGTGGCTAGCTCAATGGTAACGCGCTGGTCGCGGGACCTGAAGGTCGCGGGTCCGATCCCTGCTGGTGAGGTCGTGGGTGCGCACTGCTGAGGAGTCCCATACTAGTGGGACGAAACAGCTGTCCAGTGCTCCCAGGTTTCCTTTGTTCCTTCAACTGATGTCAGTCTAGGATGAATAACAACTTGAAATATTTCCAAATCTCCACAACCCCGTCGAAAATTTAATGCAGATAATAATTATGATAAAGTGATGACGTTGACTAAAGTACATGCAATATAGATGATAAGAACCAAGAGAAAAGCATGAAAATATAGACACTCCGATAATCAAAATGAGTCAAAAGCTTGTGAAAACAAAAGTTACATAATACCAAGGGACGAAGTAAGTGAATAAACAAACTCTAAATAAATGCATTAAGAAGTAATATTCATCATGGATTGAAATCAGTTGGGGAACCATTGAAAATCTGGGAGCAATTAATAGCTGTTTCATCCTAGTTTGGGGCTCCTTAGCAGTAGGCAATTACGATCCGGCTAGGAATCGAACTCAGGACCTTCAGGTTTCATGGCGAACGAGTTAATCATTCAGCCACTGGGTCGATTTCCAATGGTTCATAATTGCCAACTTTTGTCAATTCACGACATAGTGCAACTATCACCCTAGGTCTTCAATTAAGTATATGAAAGGGGTGAAGAATAAGAAAAAGGGTGGGGGAAAAAAAACTGAATGATAAAGTTATTAACTAAGTATCCCTTGGCCAAGGAACAGATAAAAGATGTACAAATTTCTTCTGAATACAAAGGCTAGGATTATTAGCTTGAATTCTCACAGCTTCCTGCAGATATTTATAAAAGACGAGTTGGAATACCTTTCGAAAGATGAGATGGTATGCGGTAGGAAACTTCTTCAACGTTTATTACTACCTAGCTAAAAGCGTCAACCTGTTTCTCTCTCTCTCTCTCTCTCTCTTGATATCCACAATTTTGTTATAGTTTTATTACATTTTCCATTATGGTCTTCATTTTGTTCCTATGCTACCTTTGACGGTGCTCTATGTGAAAACAATTTTCACATATTGTGGAATTTTTTTATTCTATCCTGTTTAATTATACTGGTTTCTATGCTTTTTTGTCATGAATTTTTACCTTACATCATATTTGTAAATTTTGATCTTCAATCAATCTGATCTTTGTTACTAAGTTAAATTAAACCTTGAATACACAATAATGATATGCTTCGAGAGGGATATCGTGAAAATTGAATAAGAAGCCGCAGCCTGTAAAGTTAGCCAATCGGAAGTCAAGCGGGTACCAACTGAAGACTTTCGTAGATTCTTGCACTACATCACGAATCAACAGAGTGAGGAACTGTAAACCATTGAACTCTTACCTAATGGCCGAATGGTTAACACATTCGTCGCATGACTTAAAAGTCTGAATTTACTCCTCAGTGAGGTCAAATATCGGAAGAAATAATTGTCTAGTACTCTTAGGTTTTTACTACTTCTCAAGCTGTTGTCAATCCGTGATGAATACTGCCTTGAAATGAAGTCTGCAGTGGTAGGTACAAAGTCTGGATTTCATTGAGAACACCATCACTCAACTGGATATAGAAATTTCCGGCTGATGAGTCTCAACATGAACGAAATGCATGTTCTGGATACCACTACTAGTTACAAATATATTGTCAAAGATTATTATTTCAATGTAATAAAGTTGTTTAATGAATAAAAAAATAGTGTTACTGATGTTTATCTAGAATGACATCCTCTTCTATTACTGTTATTATTTATTTTTCAATTATTTCAAAGATCTTGATTACTGTGGACGACATCAACCTTGTTTAAATAATGGTATATGTAAAAATTTGAATTCATCATTTCCAAAACCATTCAATTGTAGTTGTACACACGATTTTACTGGAGAATACTGTGAAATAAGTGAGTTGATATTTTTGGTATACTTTTCAACCATATTACCTTATATATATACATATACATATATATATATATATATATATATATATATATATATATACACCTTAAATATCCATTCTCTTTTGTTAAAATTCATTAGGGAGAAACGATACACGACTACTTAACTGTAATTGATTAATAATCATGAAATTCATTGTGAACAGTTTGTCCTTTATAGGAATCTTCAGTTAGAATCGAAGTTTTAGCCAGTTGTCAAATCTACCTCACATACCGTCAGATTAAACTAACATCTTGAGGACAGAATACTACATCCATTCTCCGTTTGATCCTCAGATACTACTAGCATCTAAAATAGGAAGTTCTTTCGCCAAAAGTTGATAAGTATCCATTCGGTTGGAAATAATCGGCGAGAAGCTCTAGACTTCAAGTCGGCTGTTGATGTATTATTGACCAGTCATAATCTTAACATCAGTAATTATATTTGCATACACTTCTGTATGAAGATGATCGTTTGAGTAATACCTAATCCACAGGTAGAAGAGTTAAACCTCAGTTATACTGATGAAAGGATTTCAATGAATCAGATGTCTGTAATTCTGAGAAAAAATCATCCACCAGTAATTTATATTTTTGATAAATATTGACCTACTCATAAGTAGTCAAAGTTTTTCATTAAAAATTTTCAAAACAAATGATAAAACCATTTAAAACTTGGGAATGGATTACAAACGCAAAAATATGTTGAAAATATTTACGGAACTGTCTATAATCAGATGTAGAAAATTTATCTAGCAATCCATTATCATAGCTGGGACTTAGTGATAATTATTATACAAAACGGATTAGGATACATGGCGAATTTTTATACTGGGTGATGATTGAATGTGAGATGAAAATCAGGACTGCCGTTGGACCTCGTAGCTCAATTCATAGAGCATCGGGCGCGGATCCCGGTGGTCGCTGGTTGAATTCGGCCCTGGTCCAAATTTTACGTCCACCTTCAGTCATCACCCAGTATAAATACTAGCCTACCAAACTACAGCTATCTCAGTCAAATTGTAAATTTTTATCCAATAAAGTAGCATAATACCTAAGGTGCTGACGTTTAGTTGAGTGAACAATCAAGGCGGGAAAATCAATATTCCTGTAAATCCTCAACCATATGTGGTAAGTGAAATGGAGCTGAACTGGAAGAATACTAAAGATGACTTGACTTTTGTCTGAGTTATTAGAAAGATTAGAAAGATATCTGCTATCTGATTGAGGTTCCAAAATTCTCCAGGAATGACTTATTGGAGATTTCGAGTGACACGGCTCAAAGGTGGTCACAACACCACCAATGTTTACCCTCTCTGTCATCTTTCAAATTCTGATCGCTTTTATTGATCAATACCAACCTGAAATCGATAAATCCCCACAAATCCTCAAATTAAATTGATTAGTGCTCATTAGTGAATAGCTTCGAGAGGTGATTCTTGATGTTTCAATCAAAAGTTATGACCAGTGGCCCAAATCTGGTGGCCATGAGGACAAATACTCGACGATAACAATAGGTGGCGGTCACGGTATGTCGTGAATTGACAGAAGTTGGAAATATGGACCACTGGATACCGCCAACCCAGTGGCTCAATGGTGACGTGCTAGCCACGAAACCTGAAGGTGCCGGGTTCGAGCGCTGCTTAGTAGGGTCGTGCGTGCGCACTGCTGCGGGACCCCCTACTGGAATGAAACAACTACCCACTGTTTCTAGGTTTCCAATGTTCCTTCAACTGATGTCATTCCTTGATGAATGTCAACTTGAAAATAATGATAAAACTTTTAAACTGTTAGCAAGGAGACCTTCGTAAGGCACTTACTTGAAGCTTTTGCTAATAATGCTGCCTAAAAGGAAGCAATTGGTAGGAAGCTCTGTTCAACCCAAGTTTCGTGCTTTTGGAACTCATCAGAAAGGTGTGAACAATCAATATATGCAACACAGTCCTATAGTAGGCCAGTAGCGATCGGAATTGCTCAGTGGTAACCTCTGAAACTAGGACACTGAGTGGCATGGGTTCGGATCTCAGGAGGGATATCAATCCCGTCAAGGTAGCAGATACGCCTTAGTGACAAGTACCAAAAAACAAGAAACCTAAGTCCAGGGCTTCTTGCCGATTGCTTCCAACCAACTGACATCTACTTATGTGCTTTATGGCCACATTGCAAAATATGATCGACAGGATTCGGTCTCCACTCAGGACTAGACAACATGAAATCGGTTCCTCTCTCATGACTAATCACTGTAAACATACAGTAAATATACAAATAAATAAATATATGAATACAAGAATAAAACATAAAGTAAGGTACAGAGTACTTGATTAAGGCCATGGTAAAAGAAATGTTTCTACATAAATGAGGTTTTGAAGTTGTGAATTACCAAATATTCTACTGTACATAAGTATCTAATCATCATCCACTTTTGAACGATTTGGTTGAACTTTTAGAGAACTTTAAACTAGGTTTCCAGAAGAGCCAGATGTTCAGAGTCTATGAGATGTTCAACAATGCAGCTGAAGATGTTTTTGTCCTCACCCTTCAACATTCAGGCTGGTGGTAGTGTTCACGAACACGTTTTTCCATCGACTGCATAGTACATTCGATGTACTCAACTCCACAGGAGAAAGTGAACTTGTATATACACATTGGTTAAAGCTAACACATCAATTTGTCTTTCATAAACTGAAGAATCAGTTGTTGACAATAGAACATAATACACAAGTTCATAGCATAGAATATTCTACTCTAAGATTTTGATAACTGTTGATGTTTTGCTAAAATTTACATATTTACTCAAAGAATATTGTTGACACAATTTAAAACTGAATCAAATAGGATATTTGTTTCATTTTCAAACCATTTTTAGAATTAGCACCATGTACAATTAATCCATGCAAACGTGGTCAATGCATATCTACAGATAACATAACCTATGAATGTGATTGTGAACCAGGATGGAGAGGTGATCATTGTGAAGAGAGTAAGTTACAATTGTAAATGAAGTATATGACCAACAAAATGAAGTCTATGTTAGATGACACAATTATTTGTGATATTAGGTGATGATTGAAAGCGGAATGATAATTTTAAGCCACAACAGGATTCGAACCAACGATCATAGGGTTTCTGACCCAGTGCTTTGCCCAATGAGCACCAAGTATCAATAGTAGTCCCTTGGGAAACCAAATTTTTAGATCATAAAGAGTAATTGGTTTTACATTACACACGATATTAAAAAAGCAGAAAATAGAACTACATCTTATATACTACTGATTGTTATACTTAGTTGGAACCAAGTCAAACTGATCAGAAGCGCTCATTAACCGAACTGAGATGACTTCAACACGGTCAGATCCTTTTACTAGATACGGTTTTCTGAGATGAACTGACCTAGATGAACCTCACTTTCAAATCTGTCTTTAGTCAGCTGGAAGTAACCGGTAGAAAACTTTACTTGTCTGACGTTTCGTGCTTGTTGATATTCGTCAGTGGAGCGTATCTCCATCTTTGATCGGCTGAGTTTGCAGATACGTTCAATGACGACTGCCAACAAACATGAAACCTTAGGTTAAGCAGAGTTTCCTATCAATTGCCTCTAATCAACTAATATCCAACAAAGTACACCAAGATGGTTAATCTTTTCGCTTAGTGGCTGCATTTCAAAATGATCGATAGAATTTAGTCAGTGCTCAGAACTAGACAACATGACCAGTCAGTGTATACTTATCAACCACAAATGTACTGGATTCAAGTCTTAGTAGGAGCAACATCACTTACTGGAGTGAAGCTGCATCCAGCTTCTGAGTTTCGAATAGGATGGAACATGTATCCTGGATCCCATCATTGATAGCCATCAGATAGTCTACAATGTACAACTCTTTTTCCTCACTAATGTAACGCCTTCCCAAGTGGTTCTCACTATAGATTGATATCAGCTATTTCGTCCTGTTTACGGGCCTCTTGACAGTGTGAACCTATGATGCTCCAAGAGGCTGAATCCAAAACACTTATATCGCAAACACTCTACCATTTAACCATTGGATTACATACAATTGCCCGTGAAATCTGACCATTCATTTTACATTCATTGGGAAAAGTAAATACCGAAATAATGAATAAAAGGAAATTGTTTTTTTTTTAAAGTTATCGTGACTTCATGGAACCTATTACTTCACACAGAATGTGAGCACATATTCACATCTACACCTTGAACTCATGAACTGATAAAGATGAGAAAACTATTCTTCTATCTCAGTAGGATATTACAAACGTATTTCCTTTCACTAACCATTTAACCTAATGCTCAACTGATTCAATTCTACCATACGAAATTCTAATCGTAAACTCTACACATAAATTTCATTTCCTTTTGTTTCTATTTTTCTTAGATATTGACTACTGTCTTATCAATACTTGTTTAAATGGTGGAACATGTCAAGATTTAGATGGTCCAGGATTTCAATGTTTATGTCCACCTGGTTTTAAAGGATCAAATTGTCAACTACCTTCACCTTGTAGTAATTCACAATGTGTTCATGCAAGAGAATGTAAACAACTGATACAACCAGTTGGTGGAATTGATTATGAATGTAATTGTCAACCTGGATGGACAGGACAATTCTGTGATGAAAGTAAGTTCAATTAGAACAGTAAATGAGTGGAGTGAGTGTGGGAGTGAGTGAATGAATGAATGAGTGAGTGAGTGATTGAGTTGCAGAGTGAGTGAGTGAGTGAGTGAGTGTGAGTGAGTGAGTGAGTGAGTGAGTGAGTGAGTGAGTGAGTGAGTGAGTGAGTGAGTGAGTGAGTGAGTGAGTGAGTGAGTGAGTGAGTGAGTGAGTGAGTGAGTGAGTGAGTGAGTGAGTGAGTGAATATAAATGATTATCTTCATAAATCGAAGTTAGTTTCTTCAAAAGGATTTCAGCTGAAAGGCTTTTCCCAAAGTGAATGAAGTATAAAGCTGTTTCTATCTTATTTGATAATCCACATTAGTATACATTCATAACTTCTTCAAAGACCAAAATCCAAAACATTCAGGTATCTTATAAAGCAAATTAGAAATGAGCCACTTTATAAGAATCCAATTGTTAGCATTGACTATTCTCAATCATCAAGACACATCGAAGTTGATCATTTGTGTTACTGATGATGTCTTTGTGACTATTTGGTGTTAATTTCTTACTTCTTCAAAATAACTTGTTAATATAAAGAAGAAGTGAAGCGAAAACGAATGTTAGATAAGAGAGTCTTAATTCATGGTAACTTACTTGATTGTGGATAACATAAAAATGCGTGACACGCTTTCCGTCTTGTTCGGGACTCATTACCACCATGTACCTGAAACTCAGTGAGTGATGTTACAACGGTGACTATGAACCTCATACGCATCTCACTAAACGCCGAAACGTTACCTGCTAGGCCACGGAGTAACGATAACTACTTCTTGTACAACGGGGATTAGTAATTACAAGCATATCAATAAATAGTAGCCTTAATTCAGTTAAAATTCCATGTCTGAGTAGATGGTCACTAGAGATGTAAAACACAAGTCAAAGACGCCTAAGTCATTAAAGATTCATATATAACCAAGTGACTTGGCTTGGCTGTCAGGAATCCTACTCCTAACCTTGCAATTGTTCACATTATGATTTCACCATACTCGAGCAATGCTTCAAAGATAACTATGGTCGAAAAAGTTGCGAACATCCTCATATCTCTTGTTATCAACAACCATTTCTCATAGGACAATACAAACCGCAGCGCAGCATATTCGTCGTTGAGTAGGTAGCTGAACATCTCGATGAAAACACAAAAGACAGAAACTGCTTAGTGCTAGACGGGCCTTTTGTATCCAAGCAGAGATTTCATCAGAATCAACCCACTAGAGTTGATGCAGCTTCCCAGATGGTTAAAGTGGTCAATACATTCTCTCAGTTCGCTCACCCCCATCCTTAAACCCGGAAGAGCTGACCACCAGTCATGAAACAGCATCTTACATTTCACTGGTTCTAAACGCTTGACAGCCAAACATACTCAGGTTCTGCCTATGGTGCCTAGAATACCCTTCACTTCATCAAGATCTGTACCTTAGCTCAACTAGATGCCCTCGCAAGGATAAGTCGACCTCTGCAAAATCAGAGGTCATCAGTTCTGATGACAACTCTACGTAAGTCCTTACACAGCTCCCAGAGTTGAAGTAGAAAGCTTTGGTCAGCGTTATATGCTTGTTTGGTACTCCTTTCATAGCTAGACGCTGTTATAGCACTTGTTTGTTGATAGAGTTAAATGCCACCTTCAGAGCAAGAATTATGGCGAGTATCAGCTGCTGGCAAGTATGCCTTAGTTACTTGACCTAAAGAAAGGTGAAGATTTGATTGCTCTATCCTCATCCAGGTCTAAAATCTGTCTGTTTCTGTCAGATTTGATCTTCTTGAGGTCCAGTTAGGCGTCCGATAACCATGAACTTGATGTTGTTGCTTCGAATCGTTTCAAGTCTAAAAGCTGATTGCTCAACATCAGTATCAGTTAGAGAATCAATATCTGCATCAGACTTAATGTTGGGCAAATTAAGCATGACTATAGGCCAGTTGAAGTATCCTTCAAAGTGATACGCTCTACTTCCCAGCCACCTGTTATTAAAGTTTATCAGTGACTTATTCTCTGAAGTAATAGTCTCAGTAACCACCATCTTCTTCTTGCAAACTTCCAAGATAAACGTAGTTAAATGCTGAATATTACCTAAGCGTTGGCTGAATATTATCATAAGTTGGTTATGCAAACAGTATTGTTAAAACTATTCAAAATCTACTCTGGAGAAATTGTACAATTAAATACTGAGTGTCTAAGGGAAATGGTGATATTTAATTCCGAAAATAACATATAATATAGGTGTATACTTATAGATAACTTCGTCTACAATTAATTTGGGGTTAATATTTATTACAGACTGACATTAATTGGAGAACCATTTGACGACTATTTCGTCCTAGTATACGACTCTTCAGCAGTTCAAAACTAAGTTGAAATAGCTATCCAGTGCTCTTAGATGTCCAATGTTTCTCTAACTGATGTCAGTCCATTATGAATGCCAACTTGAAATCAATCAACAAATCCCTATGAACCTCAAAATTGAATTAAGAAGTCAGTTATTCGATACAAGTTAGTAGTGAAATCTATGATTAGGGTTTCGTCTTACCCAAAACTTTTTAGTTGAATAGTGTTCCCAATTTCCCTGACAATTAATTACTACAGACTGAGAAATCTCTGCATAGAATCTGTTTAGTTCCAAGAGAAAGACATTATGATAATGGTTACTTTTCGATAGGAAACAGCTGTACTGTTCTATGGTTTTATTAGTGTATTACCGAATTTAAACTTTAACAGTTCTGTATAGAATGAAAGTAAAACTATTGTCTTTTTGACGGTGGCTAGCGGTGAAATATAGTATGCGCGTGTCGTCCCATTTATGACTCATCAGCCGGATGATCTTGCACACCTGTAAGTGATTCTGATCCCAGCCGGTATTCAACACAGTAACTACAGGCGAAAACTAAGAAGTTGATAGAAGGGGCAAGGCAGCAAAGACGAGACTTCAAGTGAACGTGGAGAAGACAGAGGTGATGAAGATACCCAACCAACATCATCATCACCACCACCACCAACAACAACAACAACAACAACAAGCTCCAATCACCATCAACAGGAGAAACTTAAAGGAAGTAGCCTCCTTCACCTATCTAGGCAGCATCGTTTCAACTACAGACGGTGGCACAGATGAGGATGTCAAAGCAGCCAGGATGGGAAACACAACAAGACAGGCTTGCATTAGCCTGAAACCAGTATGGAGATCTTCTGCACTGCACTCCACTCAGCATAAAGTGTGAACAACATCCGGATTTTCAACACCAATGTCAGTCAAGTAAGTCACTGCTTCTATGTGATGGTTGAGATACTTGGCGCGTTACGAAAGGCATTTCCGATAAACTACAGACATTCATGAAAAACTGCCTACGCTGGTTCGTTACTGAAACTCAGATGGACAGAATAATGAGAATAAGCAAGGAGGAACTCTGGCTGGCTGGCTGGCTGGGAGCGAACCAACGAAGCAAGAAGCTGTCGCTGAAAAAATATGCAGGAGGAAGTGGAGATGGATCGAATAGCATTGGGCATACACTGAGAAGACGATTCGGGGACATCACGCACCAGGCCAGGCCGTCGAGTGGAACCCGCCTGGAAGACGACGAGTTGGGCGTCCGAGATGAGGGTGACATGGAGGAGATGGTGTGAGGAAGAAATGAGAGCTTGTGGGCAGTCGTGAAGGCAGGTTGAAAAGATTACAGATGCGAGAGTGGAATGGCAACATGCTACTGAATCCCTATGTTCCACTAGGAGCCCAAGGGACAAATAAAATAAAAAATAATATAAGAAAACTAATAATATTGTTTTTATTTAGCTCTCATCAATCTTTTCTTTCATATTCACAAATTTTCTCATGTATAAAACATTAAACTAATCTCATAGTGAGTTTTTCAACCTGTGCTAACAGGGAGTGAATTATACAAATAGTACCTATGCAGACAATAATAATTATCTTGAGATGAGTGGGGTTTTTAATTTTAAGGTAGTATTTCTCATGAACTGACATCAGTCAGGGAACCATTAAGAACCTGGAAACACTGGACAGCTGTTTTGTTTTAGAGTGGAATTCGTCAGCAGTGTATAATCACGACCCATTCAGATGTTTCACAGCGATCTTCAATGGCTCACCGTTTCCAATTTCTGTCAATTCTCGATATAGTGCGACTGTCATCAAGGGTTTTCACTGGACATCTGCTTCCTTTCCAACTGGTTGACCACAAAGTTCCCTTCTTCTTATTGGAACTTTGGGATATCCATCTAGAAGCATATCACTAATGAGGACTATACAGTAATTTATTTTGAGGTGAATGTAGATTTTAATTTAGAGGTAGTATTCATCACAGACTGAAATCATTTGGGGGACCGGTGAAAACCTGGGAGCACTGAACAGCTGTTTCTTCTTAGTACAGGATTCTGAAATGAATACTGACTTAAAATTAGAGTCCCAATTACTGTATACTACTCATTAATGACATACTTCCAGATGGACATCCAGAAGTTCTGATGAGAAGCCGTAACCTATGAAGTCAACCAGTCCGAAGGAAAGTGGGTGCTAAGGGAAGATAGTAGTGCTATATCGCGAGTTGATAGAAGTAGTTAACTATGAACCACTCATTCCCAACCCCATGGCTGAATGTTTAACCCGTTCTCCGTGAAACTCCTAACTAGGTTGCGGGTACATTCTGCTGAGGAATCCCACTCTGGGACGAAACAGCTGTCCAGTGCTCCCATATTTTCAATGGTCCATGATAAATGCTACCTCAATCATAATTATCTCAATAGGAATAAGAATACTGAGAACAGTATGACAATGTAGATTATATAGGTCGACATTTAGGAATTCGATAAAATTTGCGCAATACTAGAGGACGGAGTATGCAGATAAGCAAAATGCAAGCAAATATGAAAGTGGTGAATAGAATAAAAGCCTGCGAAATTATCTACGGATAAGACATACAAAAACTAGGATTATTTCCAGTAATTTCCATAGCCTCAGCTATGCGTAATATGCCGGTACGAATACCATTGAAAAGCCTTTAAGTGGAATTGCATTACATCTATTACATGACCACTATCGACTAAATACGACTGAATTGAACTTCATATCGACTTCTTTTGTCCCTTTTCTATCTACAAGGTTAGATAGATGCTTAGTAACACGTTTGTTTGACCGTTTTGTGATACTTTCGGTGTAACTTTCTTCACAAGAACAACTGAATTGATAAATACACATAGAAATGAGAAAGTCCAAGCAGTTTCTCACCTTAGTATGTATACTTATGTTTGATTCAGTAACTTGACCATTTCATACATTCTTTCTCTCTTCTTTCCTTTACAAGATATCAATGACTGTGTGGATAAATGTCAAAATGGTGGAACATGTCATGTAAGTTGTAGTCTGTGAAGATTGACAATAGTAGTTGTAAGATTTACTTACATGCCAAATATTTGTCTTGAATTTTTTTACTGTAGTATTTCCTATGAAACATTTACCCCCTAGATTAGTCATAATTAGAAACATCTACAAATGAAATGGTGTGTATGGATGGTACTGCCATCAGGGTAGAGCACCACTTTCAAGTTTAAAAACAGTTTGAGCGTAAGTCTATCTTGATTTGCTTACTGGTGAGCGAATCTTCATCGATACATTCAGTTATCATTGAACTCCATACATTTTCCAAAGACAAGTAATATGATATCATGATAAATCGATTGCCTTTCACCGGTTTATTTGCATGTGAAATTATTAATTCCCTTTCTGGCTTGTTCTCATTTACTCTTGTATCCCTTTTTACATTTTTAGTTTATACTACTTAATATTATCTAGTAGTATGATTGTTTTATTGTAATATTGTTCTGTCCACGGCCTATTAGTTCCTTCTTAATATTATCTTGTTCATCATTTGACATCCAATGATTACAACAATTGAATTCCTTTGGTTGTTCTTTGATGTCCTATTTCACCGTGAACATTTATCTATCCCCTGACTTTACTTCGTCATGAGATACACGCGTCTTTAATGTTCCTTTCCGATTTGCATTGGACAGAACCTTGCTGTTCAGACTGTTGAAGCAATCACTGCAAAGTGTTTTGATAGCGATCAACCTACACATACCTCACGATTCAAGGTTTGTAATCCACTAGTCACTATTGTTAACCGCATTTCAGACAAATTCTATGTTTTTGATTTTGTGCGTAATTCAAGCATTTGGTTTATTTTTGGAGAATCGCTTTGGCTCCAAATTTCTAGGAAACAGACTCAAAAAAGTGTATGGGAGAAATACATCACATTTTTCGGATAATAGAATTCAACTCCTAATAATGCTAACAAGATAGTGTTATCGAAGTCCCAAAGACTCATTTACTGACTTAGTTGGTGCAGTCAGAGTTGGAAGCTGTGGTTTAGCAGTTTTGGAAACTTGATCATTGATTGATACCGGATGGTTGGAGACAATTTGCAAGAAGCCCTACTTGGCCTACGTTTTATCCTTGTTGCCACTCGTTAGGAAGACGCTTTTGCATCCTCCAGGGAGCTGGCATACATGTCACTTATCTCTGAAGCTAAAATAAGCCACCATTGAAATATTCTGGCCGCAGTTGACCTCTTGAGGCATGAATTAGGCATAATGACTGGTAACTGGTCAGCGACAAACTTACATGTTGTCTAGTCCTAGGTGCTGACTGAATCCCATCGATCATTTTTAAAGTGGTTACCGGAGTAGGATTCCTAGTGATTTCTATGATAACAGAATAAAACGATGTCTTCCAGTACACCTGGTCTTGCTCCATTGTGGCATTAATTCTCACCTAATAGACTTGATTTGACTGATATGTTCTCGGTTATTGACTTGAAGGTATGCTTCCATTTATCATCTTAAAGGTTAACTGCAACTTTATCATTATTATTTATTATTTGTACCCTGGGTTCCTTGTGAAACATACGCCTTCACTAGCATATAACCATTTCACTCTAGCCTCTGCTGCCTTCTCAACCTGGATCCACCACTGCCCAAAAGCTTTTATTTCTTCTTCAAACCGTCTCCTCCGTGTCACCCTCCGATGCCCGATTTGTTGTTTCCCCTTTGGACTCCGCTCGATGACCTCGCCTGGCCTGGTCTAGAGCGTGATGTCCCAAAACCATCTTCCCAGTGTATGCCCAATCCAATCCATCTCCACTATCTTCTGTGTATTTGTTTGGCGATAGGTTCTTAGTTAGTTTGTTGCCCGACCAGCCACAGTTCCTTGCAGCTTATTCTTATTATTCTGGCCACCTGACCTTCAGTGTCAGTATCAAGTGAGCGTTGGCAGCAGCTGCTGATGTGATGTATGTCTGTAGTTTGTTGGAAATGCTTTTCGTAACTCGCCGTCTCTCAACCATCACATAGAAACACTGACTTACATGACTGACATTGATAGTGGAAATCCGGATGTTGTTCAGCCTTAATACTGACTGCAGTGCAGTGAAGAGCAGTAGAACTACACGATGATTATTTCAGACTAATGAAGACCTGTCTTACAGTCTTTCCGATACTCATTTGTGCCGTCGCCTCCTGACGATGCTGCCTAGGTAGGTAGGTGGAAGAGAAAAGTTCCTTTGGATTTCTCCCAGTGAAGGTGATTGGTGCTAGTCGTTGTTCGTTAGGTATCATCATCACCTCTGTCTTCTCTACATTCCCTTGAAGGAAGTTCCGTCTTCACTGCCTCACATCTTCTGTCAACTTGCTAGTTTTCGCCTGTAGATCTTCGAGTTTGTGTGACAAGACATTAGACATAAATGATCGTCGGAGAAATCCAAATCTTCTTCTTCTAGGGTTTTTTCATCAGTCTACCCAGCGTATGACCATCTCGCTCCTCAAAGCTGTATGTTGCATGATCCAGTCCAGTCGAACACAATCAGGAAGATCTACAGTGATCTGACAATAGGCGGCAACCTTGTCTTACTCCTGTCCTCGTCTTCACTTCAAACGCATCAATGAGCTTTCCATTGGGAATTCTTTGGCATCACTTATCACGATATAACATATAGGTGTTGAATGAGGTTGATAAAGGCTTACGGCACTAAAACCGTAGTGTTGAAGCAATTTCCAAATTACTTCTTGGTCGACTCTGTCAAAGGCCTTTCCAAAGTCGATGAAGTTGAGTTCACTGCTATTCTATAGTCTGTTCTATGAGGACGTATAGCGTAGCGTTGCAATTTGATCCTTAACTATCTGGATATAAATGCGCGTAATCCTTTACTGAGATATTTCAAAGTTGTCATTGGCAGAAGTTAGAAACTCTAGACCATTAAACTTTAATCCAGTGACTGAATGGTCAATGCGTTCGTCGTCAAACTTGAAGTTTCTAAGTTGAACCCCTGTCTCGTGGGCGTGTACTGCTTAAGAGTCTCATACTAAGGTAAAACGGCTCTCTAGTACTTCAAGATTTATACTAATCCTCCCACCTGTTCTCACTCATTTATGCTGAAGAATGTATTTAAAATCCTTCTTTTTGTTTTTTCTAGGATCTTGTTGATGACTTCTATTGTACTTGTCCACTTGGATTTGAAGGTAGATATTGTGAAATCAATCGTGAATGTGCTAGTAAACCATGTGAAAATAAAGGAATATGTCATGAAATCCCTGGAGGATATTTATGTGAATGTCCAAATGGATTTATGGGACAAAATTGTGAGGTTAGTGAACGGTGAGGTATATTTATCCTGCTTTTCATGAACTTTATCATAAAATATTGCCGATAAGATGTACATCTAATGAACGTATAAGGAAAAAGGTGTTCTGATTTTTGTGTCTAACAGAAAGTCATTTAATCTGTCAATTTTTCTTTTACTAGTACCATCATTAGGCGTGGTGGATTACGCTTTGGGACTTTGAGTGGTCGGTATTCAGTTTCAGTTCTAGTAGAAATAACATCATACACTGGGATGTAGACATATCCGGCTGATGAGTTCTGGAAAGGATGAAACACACATACTGGACTCCACTGCAAGTCACTATCCATTAGTATTCTATTTTACTTTAAGTTTCAAAAATGTACATAATACTCATTATAAGCCAATTATAAATACCGATAGGACAGATGAAAACAAGACATCAAGATTCCGAATGGTTCAGCCTATCCTCATTATGACTCTCTGAGACTCACCAGCTGGATAAACCAGAACCACAGTGAGCGATATTGTCCCCGCTGAGACACAAACCAAGAAGACATAGTTTCAAACCCTAAAGCGTTATTGACTACGTCAACGTGACATGAGGACCGCAACAAAGGTTGAGGTATTCAATGCAGTATAGGTATTGATAATTAATAGTCGTCTAGTGCATAGTGCTCAGCAGTGATAGAAGTCTATGACTCAGAATCGAAATACTGACAGAACACTAAGTTCCTCATGATTCCAGATATGCCTACTGTACTTGTCGTCGAAACTGAAGTATTCACTAGTCAGGAGAATAGTCTAGGTGAAAACAAAAATTGTAATTTTAATGTGTATATTTTTCGTCCAAACAGTAGACAAACATTTGCATCAAATAAAACAACCATACAGCATTAATTAGCATTATGTACACAAGAGTAGTCACAGTAGCATAGAGTCATGTAGCATTTAAAAGGTAGCCAATAGGAATATAGTTTTAGTCATAGTGGCATAAGTCAGGAATGGTCAATGGGAATACACTTATGTATGCAAGTACTTTTCATGACTTAATCAGACGCCACTTATTGGTTAGTGCTTAGCTCAAAGGTTTGTCTGTATAAAAAGGAAATCAGCGCACCTAGCTTGAGTCCCAGTAACCACTTCCTGCTGAATGACTCCCAACATCTTGCACAATGTACTGAGTCCTAATCTCAAGTACTATGTTTTTCAAAAGATAGATAAATGAACAGCGTAGTTGATAATAACGGCGTTTAAAATTATTACTATTATTTGTCCCTGGGGTTCCTAATGGAACATAGGGCTTCAGTAGCACGTCTCCAATGCTTTCTGTTCTCTGAAATCTTTTGAACCTGGCTCCACGACAGCCCACAAGCTCTCATTTCCTCCTTGCACGATCTCCTCCATGTCACCCTCGGCACCGACGTCCAACTCGTCGCTTCCCATCGGGGTTCCACTGGACGGCCTGACGCGTGGTGTCCCCAGTTGGCCTTCTCAGTGTATGCCCAATCCATCTCCACTTCCTTCTGCATATTTGTTGAGGCGTTCAAAATAATCAATGCTAAATTTCATTCTCACTGATATTGATAGGTATGTACTCAACTACTCTAAAGAGGCTATACATAAGACATACAAAAAGGTGTGCTCTACATCCCACTGTTTTATCAAACAACTACCTAATGAATAGTATCAGACTGAAACAGTAGACCGACAGACAAAATCAACGTAGAATCTGGCATACAAGCGCACCATCTCAAGTTGTTACACTTCAAAATAGTATACAAACAATAATAGCATACTTAAGGAGTGATATTAGAGAAGATAAAGTAGTGTGAGAGAATAAAAAATTGAACGTAAAACTTAAGGCGAACATTCAATCTTTAGATGGCGTCAGAGAGTGAATACATCTGCACCATTGTGACCAGTTTCCAACCATGTCACCAAGTCCTGGATCTTTGATTTCCTTCGTCTCGAGGACTTCAACCCGACAGTCTCCACCTCCCCACACCACTCAGGCGACAGTGACAGACTTCATCGACTAGTGCTACGTCTTAGTCTGGTCACCCTGGACCTTCTACCAAGTCAGTCCAACTTCCCACAATATGACACATCGAGGTAGGCGGTGATTTGGCATGCTCAGTGCATGTCCAAGACATCTCAGCAGACTAGAGTTCACAACTTCACCAGTCGCCAGTAGTACTAAGAAAACATCTGTGATCGAAACCCCGTGATCGCTTCACACCTACTTTTAACGGCCATTTCTCACAACCATATAACAGGATAAAACGAACTGCAGCGCCGTTGGGGCCAGAGATGACACAAGTTGGCAAATGCCATGGGAACCTTCTGCATGCAAGTTGAGATTTCTGCAGCAACTGTGCCATTCAGGCTGATACTACCTTCCAACTAAGTGAAGTGGCTGATGGATCCAACGAGTTCACTTCCTTAGACTAGTAGATGTAGGCTAGCCTTGGAGTACCATCTTATGCTTGACAGTTCCGAAACGCACGCCAGTAAATCAATCCTTGTGAAGTCAGAAGTACCTAAAGTTACAACCATTAATACGCCTATAACTAAGCTAAACAGGAATGACAACAGTAACCATCCCCGACGGACACCAAGACATGCGACTGTGGAACAACAACAACAATTACTTTAATACACATACGTAGTATATATATATATTTACAAAACTCTCAGAAAATGAAGCCATAAATAAACCAATCCGATTTGTTGTACGACTTTGAATTTGTCCAATCAGGTAATCATATCAGTGCATGCATAAATCATGATCTGAAAATAATTTCTCTATTGGCTGCCTTTTTGTCACTACGTATCACCCTATCCATCTAAAATGACAACTCTCTATAACCTTCTAAACAGCTGCATGAGTTCGAGTAGAAAGCTTTGATAAGCACTATATACTTGCTCTATACTCCCTTCACAATCATATACTCCTTCAACACTTCATAGTCGATAGAGTGCCAGTATATATGTATGTGTTCCAGAACCTGTCATAGAAGTATACATCATTACTATTGCACCTATATAGGTTGACATCAAACTACCCTGTTTATTCAATGAAATGGAAAAGCTCTCATTCTAGTATTATCCTCTTTAACTAATGATTGCGTACATGAATATGCTTTTAGATAGTATAGTTCAGAGAAAAGTATTTGATAAAAAAATTTTTCAATGACAATACCTTTGTAGATTTCATTAAATGGTTGTAATCCAAACCTTTGTCAAAATGGTGCTTATTGTTATACTTTACCAATCGGTTTCTACTGTAAATGTTCTGAGAAATTTTATGGTCAATTCTGTGAACATCAACGTCCATATTGTGGACCAGATGGATGTGATGCTTTAATGGATCCTTGTTTAAATATGCTAATTATGACTAGTTCAATCGTATCCTCATTACCATCATCATCATCATTACAGTTGGCGTCGAAATCAATTATCAGTATGTCAATGACAACTGCCTCTATGCCAACAATGATTCATAATATAAATGTTCATAATTCTAATGTAGACAATAGAGTGTATAATACTGAGCTTACTTATCCCTATGGTGTATGCGGTCCATATGGTTCATGTATTACAACAGATAATGGAGATTACAGTTGTGTTTGTAGTACAGGATTTCAAGGGAAATATTGTCATCAATCGATTAATTATTGTGAAATTAATCCATGTATGCATAGTGCAATATGTGTAAATGGTTTAGAAAGTTATGAATGTATATGTGAAGAAGGTTTCAGTGGAAAACAATGTGAAAATCGTAAGTTGTACCAGTCTGATTATTGTATTTTATTCAATCATTATCAATAGAAATAATTTGTTCAGAGATAAATATAAAGGTCACTTTTATGATGAATAAAAAGTAGTATATTCTAAGGTTAATGAAGATTTTAATTTCAAGGTAGTATTCATTACAGATTAGCAGTCAACCCTCTACCTCAACTTCATCGACTTTGAAAAGGCCTTTGATAGCGTTGACCGAGAAGTAATTTTGAAACTGATTCAACACTACGGAATACCACAAACATTTATCAATCTCATTCAATAACTATACGAAGACGCCACATACCAAGTAACTTTTCACTGGGAGGCTCAGTGATGCCTTTGAATTGAAGACAGGAGTGAAACAAGGCTGTCTACTGTCACCCATCATCTTCTTGATTGTAGTCCACTGGATCATACAACAAACAGTGTGGAGCAAGAAGAAGGGGATACGCTGTTCGACCAATGAAAAGAGCCTAGGGGATTTGGATTTCACCGATGACAATTTATGTCTAATGTCGCACAAACTCAAAGATCTACAGACGAAAACTAACAAGTTGACAGAAGAGGCAAGGCAGCGAAGACCAGACTTCAAGTGAACGTAGAGAAGACAGAGGTGATGAAGATACCCAACCAACATCATCATCACCACCACCACCACCAACAACAACAACAACAACAAGCTCCAATCACCATCAACAGGAGAAACTTAAAGGAAGTAGCCTCCTTCATCTATCTAGGCAGCATAGTTTCAACTACAGACGGTGGCACAGATGAGGATGTCAAAGCAGCCAGGATGGGAAACACAACAAGACAGGCTTGCATTAGCCTGAAACCAGTGTGGAGATCTTCTGCACTGCACTGCACTCAGCATAAAGTGTGAACAACATCCGGATTTTCAACACCAATGTCAGTCAAGTAAGTCACTGCTTCTATGTGATGGTTGAGATACTTGGCGCGTTACGAAAGGCATTTACGATAAACTACAGACATTCATGAAAAACTGCCTACGCTGGTTCGTTACTGAAACTCAGATGGACAGAATAATGAGAATAAGCAAGGAGGAACTCTGGCTGGCTGACTGGCTGGCAAAGAATCAACCAAGAAGCTGTCGCTGAACAAACATGCAGAAGGAAGTGGAGATGGATTGAGCATACACTGAGAATATCGAGTGGGGACATCACGCGTCAGGCTCTGCATTTGAGCGGAACCCAGATGGGAAACGATGAGTTGGGCATCCGAGATGAGGGTGACATGGAGGAGATGGTGTGAGGAAGAAATGAGAGCTTGTGGGCATCGTGAAGGCAGGTTGAAAAGATTACAGATGCGAGAGTGGAATGGAGGTGTCCTAGTGAATCCCTATTTTCCACTAGGAACCCAAAGGAAAAATAATAATAATAATTTATCACAGATTGATATTAGTCGAAGAATCCCAGTATGTGACTTCTCATCAGTATGCACACTTAGAGACTTCAAAAATCACGGGGAACGGGATAAACATTTAGCCACTGGATTAGAATTAAATTCTGCTCAGTTTTCTACTTCTGTCAGATCGTGATATAACGTGACTATCCACCAAGGTCTTCAGTCGACATCCGCTTTACTTCCAATTGGTTAACTCCACTGGTTACGATTCCTCATTAGAACTTCAAAATACCCTTCTTAAAGCATGTCATTTGTCAGCACTATACAGCAGTGCATTCTAAAATTAATGGGTATTTTAATTTTTAGGTAGTATTGCCTCATAGGTTGATAACAGTTGGGTGTATACTGTTGAGGAGTCCCATACCAGGGCGAAACAGCTGTCCAGTGCTTTCAGTGGTTCTTCAATTGATATTAGTCCGCAATGAATATTTATTATTATTATTATTAGTCCCTTGGGTTCCTAGTGGAACATAGGGCTTCAGTAGCACGTCTCCAGTGACCTCTATTCTCTGAGATCTTTTGAACCTGGTTCCACGACAGCCCACAAGCTCTCATTTCCTCCTCGCATGACCTCCTCCATGTCACCCTTGGCACCGACGTCCAACTCGTCGCTTCCCATGGGGATTCCACTCGAGGGACTGGCCTGGCGCGTGATGTCTCCAGTCGGCCTTCTCAGTGCATGGCCAATCCATCTCCATTTCTTCCTGCATATTTGTTGCGTGATAGGTTCTTGGTTGGTTCGTTCCCAGAGTTCCTTGTTGCTTATTTTTTCTGGCCATCTGATCTTCAGCAGAGAGCGTAAGCAGTTGTTGATGAATGTCTGTAGTTTATTGGAAATGCCTTTCGTGACGCGCCAAGTCTCTGAACCATACAGAAGCACTGACTTGACGTTGGTGTTGAAAATCCGTATCTTGTTCCACATGCTGAGTGCAGAAGATCTCCACACTGGTTTCAGGCTAATGAACGCCTGTCTTGCTTTTCCGATTCTGACTTTGACGTCCTCGTCCGTCCCGCCTGTAGTTGAAACAGTGCTTCCTAGATAAGTGAAGGAGGTTACTTCCTTCAAGTTTCTCCCGTTGACGGTGATTGGAGTTTGTTGTTGTTGTTGATGGTGGTGGTGCGGTATCTTCATCACTTCTGTCTTCTCTATATTCACCTGAAGTCCCGTCTTCCTTCGCTGCCTCTTCTGTCAACTTGTTAGTTTTTGCCTGCAGATCTTCAAGTTTATGTGACATTAGGCACAAGTCATCGGCGAAATCCAAGTCTTCTAGGTTCTTTTCCGCAGTCCAGCCAGAGTATCCCCCTCTTCTCGCTGCCTACTGTTTGCTGCATGATCCAGTCCACCACAATAAGGAATATCATGGGTGATAGTAGGCAACCTTGTTTCACCCCTGTCTTCACTTCAAAAGCATCACTGAGCTTCCCATTGTGGATTACTTGGCATGTGGCATCTTCATATAGTTGTTGGATGAGGCTGATAAAGGTTTGCGGTACTCCGTAGTAATGAAGCAGTTTCCAAATTACTTCTCGGTCGATGCTGTCAAAGGCCTTCTCAAAGTCGATGAAGTTGAGGTAGAGAGCTAATTGCCATTCTATGCTCTGTTCTATGATGATATGAAGCGTTGCAATTTGGTCAGCACATGATTTGTACTTCCTGAATCCAGCCTGCCTGTTCCGGTCGTAGTTTTGAATCCAGTGCATCTTTAAGCCTCTCCAGGATGATGCGGCTTAATACTTTACTTGCTATGGGTGGACAGGAGAGTGATTCCGCGCCAGTTCTTGCAAACACTGAGGTCTCCCTTCTTCGGCAGTTTGACAAGGTAACCCTTCTTCCAATCAATGGCCAGGTACCTTCTCTTCCTTCCACACCTTCTGCAATAGTGGTGTGGTGTGAGCATGTCCGCTGTTGTCTCTGCATCTGTTCTCAGTGCTTCTGGCGGTATCCCATCTGGTCCTGCTGCTTTCCCACATTTCAGTAGCTTTATGGCGTTCAGGACTTCCATTTTCGTTGGGGGATTTATGTTCACTTGTAATTCAGCGGCTGCAGGTGGTATTTCTGGACGAAGTGCAGGTGGTGGTGGTGGTCGATTCAAGAGCTTTCTGAAGTGGTCGGCCCATCGTTTCCTTTGTTTCTCTTCTTTCGCAATTAAATTTCCGTCATCATCTTTTATTGGTTTCATCTGTGTTGGTCTCTTCCCTGATAGCAACCTGGTTATTTGATACAATGTCGTCAGGTCTCTCTTACCTGCAGCCTGTTCTGCTTCACTTGCCAGTGTTTCGTAGAAGTGTCTTTTGTCTTTTCGTGCACTCTTCTTTACTTCTTTGTTCAGTGTTTTATACATTGTGCTCAGTTCCTCTTGTCGTTGAGCATCCTTGCACTGGTTTATCTTCTGCTTCACCATCCTCTTCTCCCTGCTCTATCAGCTTCCAGGTATCCGTCGAGATCCATTGCTTGTCTCGGCGCTTCTTCTTCCTTCCTAATACGGTTGTGCAGGTTTCTTTCCACATAGCTTTCAAAGACTTCCAGTGTTCTTCCACACAGGTTTCTTCAGGGATGTTGCTCGATATCTCCCATTTTGTCTTGATGGCTGCCTTGAAGATCTCCTTTGTAGTTTCATCCTTCAGTTTCCGAGTGTTGTACTTGAATTGAGGTCTATCACCAGCTTCCTTGAAGGCTTTTAACTTGATTTGGAAGGTTCCTTGCACTAGATAGTGAGTGGTGTGAACCTACATCTGCTCCTCTTCTTGACCTTGTGTTAAGTAGACTGCGTCTCCATTTTCTTGAGATTGAGATAAAGTCGATTTGATTTTTAGTGTGTCCATCTGGTGAAATCCATGTCGCTTTGTGGATATCTTTGTGCCTGAACACACTGCCTCCAATCACCAAATCGTTGAATGCGCAGAATTCTGCAAACAATTCTCCATTCTCATTCATTTCACCTAGCGCCTCTCGACCCATGGTTAGTTCTCTTCCCGTGTTGTCCCCTCCCAGTTTGGCATTCATGTCGCCCATTAGAATTTTGATATCGCCAACTGACGTCTTGTCCAGTGTTGATTGAAGTTGTCCGTAGAAATCCTCCTTTTTCTCTTGCTCTGCATTATTTGTAGGTGCATAACATTGTATGATTGTGACCTTTCTTCCTTTTGAGTTGAATCTTGCTGTCATGATCCTGGAGGAGATTGGTTCCCACTGCATGAGAGCCTTCGATGCTCTTGAGGACATCATGATAGCCACTCCATAACTCAGTGTGCTGGTGGTTGTCGTCTGGGTGACGGTATCGGAGTAGATTATTGATTCTCCAGTTGACAGTTTGGAGAGTCCACTCCCATTCCATCTGCTTCCGCAAATCCCAAGCACTTCGATGTGATACCTTCTCATCTCCTTTGCAATCTGGGCTGCCTTGCTGGGTTCAAACATCGTACGGACATTCCATGTCCCCACGTTTACTTTCGCTTTCATCGAGGGAGAGAAGACACATCGGCCAATTGGCTTCCCGAAGGCAGGCTTTCACCAACTGGCGTCATTTCGCCTCTCCGATTCCAGCGGGGAATAAATTTGTTTTCATTTTTTAT